TGGTCGTGAAGACCAGAAGCTCTGGAAGAGAGACCAGAGGGGCTCTGGTCCTGTGTTGAAATATTTTGTAAGTGTGGTTAAGAACCAGAGGCTCTGGTCGTGAAGACCAGAAGCTCTGGAAGAGAGACCAGAGGGGCTCTGGCCCTTGATGTTGAATTATTTTCTTATGGTTTACAACCAGAGGGGCTCTGGTCCTAAAGGACTTAAGAGTCCAGAGGCTCTGGTCAATACAACCAGAGGCTCTGGTCGTCCTTAGAGGCTATGGTCTTCTTCCAGATTTAGTCGTTTTAAGATAAATAGCTAGACGATACACCTTATGTCGGAACTCACGTTCCTATATTTTTTTGTTGATGTGAGGAACATTCTTAAGCGTAGTTGACCAAGGTTGACCCTAGCCGACGTAGTTGACCGTAAGTTGACTTTTATGTTAGCCTTTGGGAGAAATTAATCATTTACATACTATTTGCTATTATAAATTGTAGGTTACCAGTCAGCAGCGTTAGTTAAGCAATCTACGTTATCAGGTGAGTCTTCATGAGATTTGACTGGGATGCATACCTAAGTACAAATTATTTTTACATGATATGAATTTCTGATGATGTGAACGTATGCATGATATTTCAATTACATACATGTTATGATATATTTTACATATATGCTATTTTATGAATGGTTACATGCTATGTGTTTAATCAGTTTTCGAATAACTCTAGCATGCTATTCCATATTAAAGTTTGATGATTCAAGGGTGGGCATTTGACCAGTAAGTCACGACCAATATAAAACACTATCCGGACAAGTGGGTGATCAATTAAGATTGAAATGTCAACCGAGGGCGTGTTTGTGACTAAATGACCCATACCCGACTAAACGTTATATGAGATCTCATATTTTCAGTGTCTTACAGATATATTTCCTTCAGTATTGCATGTTTTTCAGAAAATGCATACTATTTGGTACAAAGTTTACAAGTTGATATATATTTGTGAAATGATCTTTACTCACGCAAACCATAAACTCACTGAGCTTTATAAGCTGACTATAGTATGCATCTCAAGGCCAGGTAGTTCGAAGTTGGATAAGGGCAAAGGACACGCTTAGAGAGTTGCTAATTATCATCTTATTTTTAGTTTTTTATAGTGTTGTGTTAATCTTTTGTAACTTAACCTGGTATGAAGCGGGTTAGAACTTAAGTAAATTTTTGGGCGATTGAAAGACTTCCGCGTAAACGATTCAAACAGTGTTATTTTAGCCGTCTTTTGGAATATGTATTTAGGAAATTGTTTCAGGTTACGTGACATTCTAAAAAAAAATGAGGATGTTACAGGAAATGCATCCCTCTGTTTTAGTTAATCAAAACAAGGAGGGAAATAAAATAAGAATTATACACTAATTATTATTATTATCATTATTGTCTATTAATAAAAAATAAAACAAAAAGTCAAAGAGAAATAAAAAGAGAGTACAAGAGTGGATGTAAGAGAGAGCGTGTGTATGAAATGATGTATTCTCTAATTTCTAGGTGGTTAAATGTTAATTTTTCACAGTATTTTAAGTTCTTAATTGCACCCTTTACCTAGAAGTGTGCAAATAATAACCCCTTTTAGAAAAGTGTAATTTTTAGGATGATTAAATAGTTGAATACTTTTTAATTGTGATAAAAATTTAAGAATCTAAATAATCTATCTATCTATATTATATTTTAAGTATTTGATATAAAGTTTGAAAAACCATTTTTTATGCAACGAATATTGTTTATCGATGCATATTGTGATAATCGGATTCCGATTATATAATTTGGGGTGATTTTAAAATTTGGTAAAGTGATTATTGTTTATTTATAAATCCGTGATGCATATGCATGTATGTATATATATATATATATATTTGTGTGTGAAGAGGAGAGTTTTAAATAATAAAACTTTCTACCGCCTATTTTAGGAAAGTATATAAGGATGAGTTGAATTCATCCCCTCCATACTTGCCATTTTGGGAAAGAAAGGAGGGAGGGAGGGAGGGAGATAGAGATAGAGAGAGGGATAGTTGATTCTCTGTGAAATTGATAAGGTTGGAAACTGAATTTTGTGATAATAATTGGAGTTCTTGTTGAGTGAATCATCTTTAAATTGTTGCATATAAGGTGAGTGTTACAATGATTTAGTACCTATGTTTTTAACTACCGGTAGTATTATGGTTATGTGATGTTAGTTAACTGCATTTTTAAGTTAGATTCAATATGTACATATTTCATCGCACAAAAAATGTTCGATAAGGATTTTTTATTATTATTCATGTATTGTTCGATGAGGACTCTTATCGTTCAATGTGTTGTTCGATAAGGACCTTTACCGGACAAGGGATCAACCGGATTGGGTGTTCATCGCCTAAAGCTTTGTCCGGTGAAAATGCTTATCGCTCAAGGCATCATCCAGATTGAGTGTTCATCGCCAAAGTCTTATCCGGATTGGGTGTTCATCGCCCAAGTGTTGTCCGGATTAAGTGTTTATTGTTCAATGTGTTGTCTGGATTAAGTGTTTATCATTCATTGTGATGTCCCGTGAGGGCAGTTCATCGTCAAGTGTTGACCGATGAGGACGTTCATCGATCATAGTGTTGACCGGTGCCGGTGAGTTTTCAAAACAAATACAAGAAACTATAAACCTGGAGTCCTGTACTGAGTTTAAAATCACGATTCGATAGTCGAAAATTATGTTAAGTATTATTTATTTTTGAAGAGAAAATGTTAAATATTATTTAAAATTACACAAAACATTTAATTTGAGTAGTCGGATGAATAGTTTTACCCTCTTAAAGGTTTACATGTTTCATTGGTTTTTAGATATCGGATGCCTTTCTTTTCCACACTACGTTAAAAACCTCAAATCAAGCAATCACCATTCTATTTCGTCTTCCTCCTCGGCGTCTAGAGAGTTCTCTGCAAGTCAATGGCGTCCGATCTCGTCACCAAAGCTAATGAAGCTTTCATTGACGACCACTTTGAACTCGCCGTTGACCTCTACTCGCAGGCCATCCTCATCAACCCTACCAACGCCGACCTCTTATCCGACCGCTCTCAGGCTAACATCAAACTCAAAAACTTCACTGGTATAGTATTCTCTCTTCAGATCCTGATACCAACAACAAACCGGATCAACTCTTTGAGTTTTTTATCGCATGCTTTCTTTGATTTCAACCGGATAAATTGCATTTATGATTACCATTAACTTGATTTTGTCTAACAGGTAGTTTTCTTAGCGTTTCAATTACTTCTCATACTGATACTGTTGTTGCTCAAGTATAGATTTTTGTTATGGCATACTGAATTGGTTAGTTTCGGCTTCTATGTAGGTGTTTTAAGTGTTTCTTCTTTCATATAGATAAAATGCAACTCTGGTCATGCGGAATTGTTCTAGTACCTTGAACCGTTGTTTGATTAATGATAAGTTTTGAAAATTGGCAATTTATGTAGTTCTCAAGTCCATGAAATTTTGGTATTCTTTTTTCTAGATGATATCTGTCTTGTGCAGGATCAAATTATTTAGTTGGTATGTAGAGTGTTGAGTGTTCTCGACGTGACTTACTTCATTCTTGCTAAATGATATTTTTCTTGGGCAGGATCAAATCAATTAATTCATGTGTAGAGTATCAGTATTCTGGACATGACTTATTTCATTCATGTTACTTGGTAGCAGTATAATAGCTAAAGATCCTTCACCAAATCAAAAGTTTCTCATTCGTGGACGTGGTTGCTAGGTTTACTACTGGTGCATTTGAGTTTTGGTTGCTTGTGCAAGGCTAATTGAATCACACTTAGCTGAGTAGATTCCTCTAGATGATTGTTATTAGACGTGCTAGTACTCCCAGGAATCACTAACTGTTTTGTGCATACCCTTTTTCGGACAAGTTGCTTGATATTATTTGACAAGTCAGGCAAATTGAAGGCAAGGGGTCGGCGTCTTAAGTAGAATACACACATAGATGAAAAGATTTGGAAGGATAGAAGAAGAAAGAATAATTCAAAAACATAGTTGGTGAAGATGGCTTTTTCAGTGGCATGAATTACCTGTCTTTTTTTCATAGGCTAGGTTGGGTTTCTCTGGTCTGGTCTTATTCAGAGATCATTATGGGGTTTTCTATAGGAGTTCGAAGGTATAAATACAGGTTGGAAGATTGGGAATTTGTGTGAGAATGAGAGGAACATATCCTTTCACTTATTGCCTTTTATTCTCCTACAGACCTACTTCTCAAATACCATCTTGCTGTAAGCCTGTAACTTGACATTAATAAGGTTTTATGGGCCGTTGGCAGCACCAGTGAGGAGAGTAGAAAGAGTGTTGGTTGAGGGGGTGAGGAGGAGGGGTAGGCTAAGGAGGACGTGGGATGAACAACTGAGGTTGGACATGGGCACATGGCAGCCTTACGTATTTTCGAGGACATGACCTTTGACACGTGTACTTGGAGTCTGAGGACTACGGTAGCAGGCTAGGTGTGAGAACCTGTAACTTGCTTAGTTGGACAGAAAGGAGTTCGGCAGGTTGAAAGGGGGGGGGGTGGTTGGAGTGGTCTGGCAGTTCACATGCTAGGGTGCGCTTTTCTTCTTATTTGCTCTATGTGGCGTTTTCTTTCCTTGCCTTTTCCTATGTTTTCATTGTAGCTCATCGTTACCTTTTCGTACTTCTTTTTCTCGTGCTTTGCTTTGCTCATGCTAGCACTTATTCTTTCTAATTGTTTGCTCACACTCTTGCACACGTCGGGGCTCTTCAGGAAACAACCACTTTACTCTTTTGGGGTAGAGGTCAGATTTGTCTGTATCTCATCCCTTAGATCCTATTTCAAGCTGGATGTACTGGGTCAGTTTGATTTGGTTTGGTTTATGGGCGGATGTAATGTAGACAAATTTGCGTAAGTGATGTATATCAAAGGAGTAGGCCTTAGGAGTGTGTGGGAGAATACCATTCTTGTTCAAAAGCCCTAAGAACCTATTTATGTTGCTCTCGGTTGCACTACCTTATAACTTTTTTTTGGTTCCGTTTTAGCCTGCACTATCTACTGTGGGAATAAAATTCTTGTTCCGTTTTAGCCTACTCATGAACAACTACAGATGTTTTCACCAAAGGAGTAAGTAGACCGATTTTCGAGAGAATTTTATTCAAGCTGGGAATGGGAAACTCCCACTCACCAGCTTGAGGGGGAGTGTGGGAAAATGTAAATAAATGATTATGTATTTAATGTAGGATTAATGGGAGCCGATTATAATCCCATAATATTAGTGATTGTAGGCAATCCCATAAAATCAGGGATTCATAGAATAGTTTCCTTTTTCTTTCCCTTTGCCTTGCGTATTTATATTGTATGCTTCTCTATCAAGAAGGAATAAGGAACACAACAAAATTCCTAAATATGTTAGTCTCATCAATTACAAAACACTAGCAGTAATGCATATAAGTGGTGGATCCTTTATGTTGTTAGTGTGCTTATACCTAACTAAAGCAAAGACAAGGGCTTAAAAGCGGCCCTTGGTGTAACCTTATAGTAATAGGGAAAATCATCAATCTTGTCACATGCTTTTACTCGCATTCAAATGCATTACATTTACATGAATTATCTTCTTCTAAACTTCCTGGTGGAGATCTCTTCTCATAAGTTTATCATGTGCCTCTAAATCAATAAACATCATATGCTGCAATGCGAATCACTTTTATGTTGTCACCTCCCTAAACATTTTTTAGCTTTACTAGTTAGGAAATTAGTATGGCTAGAGAGTAGAGTTTTTTCCTCTACTAAAGGATAAAAAACGATAATCACTTACCAAAGGAAATGCTTAGAAATTCTTAAATCATAGTCTACTTCTAAAATCTAGTATTTCTTCTGGTTGGTTCATGTTACTGTACCCAAATTTTCTATAGGTTGTTTCAATCCTTAGCCATCTTGACCTACATGACGATCTACATTTTCTTCTATAATGATCTTGTCGCTAACCGGTATCTTTTCATTGAAACCAACCTGATGGACATATGCACCAATGATGTTCGTAAATCGTAAGAACATCAACACCAATTTGCGTAACATGATTTTTGTCTTCTTGTCTTTTAATCTTAACTATTTTCTAAACTTTTATCTATTTTAATACCTCTCCTATTTTTAGTGGCATCATTCCCTGAAAACCACAACCTAAAACCTATGCTCCCAAAATTTTAGATTTCTTATGTAATCACTTGGTCTTTTGAAAGCATGCAGTATTTTTTTCTCTCTCTCTCTCTCTCTCTCTCTTCTCTCTACTTGACGTGTGATTAATTTCCTCATCTTCCTGTCAAAAAATCCCTTAACTACAAACGAATTTCCTACTTTCTCGGGCCAACGTCGTTGCCCCACATGTTCATTCGAGTATGAAGACCCTTTGTTTCTCCTCACACCTAGACATGGATGTGCCATGTGTTGAAGGGAATGACAAACCATTATTTGCTTTAGCTTCAAAATGGCATGCTTATGTTTACCATTGCTGGTCTCTAATGCAATACATTTTGAAGTGATGATGACCCGACCCTTACTAGTTTAAATGCGCTGATATGAGTATATGGCACATTTACATTGATCACATCATGATTTTTTGGCAACGTGTTGCTAAGAAGGTCATGAGTTAATGAAAAACATGTATTTTATTGATAGGAATAATTATGTGCAATGTATGCTCATGATACACTTGGAAAGAACTATGTAAGAATAGCTGTAGAGTTAAAAACATGAATCATAATTTATTTATTTTTTGCTAGTTTTGTGGTTGTTATTACTAAAACGTAAATATTGTCATGTTGAATTTGCTGGAGTTCATAACTTGGTATGGCTTTCTTTTTTGTGTGATGCAGTAATGATAAGATACTTATGGATCTCATACCTAATTTGAGATTGTTGTAATTTGGCATGTGTTTCATATGTATCTAGTTTTTGGGTGGTTGTTACTAAATCATACATTTTGTTATATCGAATCAATTTGTGTGAATTTGTATCTTGGTATGGCTTTCTTCAATTGCATGATGCAATCCTGTTAAGATATCTAAGGATCTCATGCCTAATTTAAAATTTTAATAATTTGACATGAGTTTAATCTGTATGTAAGTTTTATGTAATAGATTTAGTTCTCATGTACTTTTCAGAACTTGATTGCTATTGCTCTTGCATTCGAGTTTTGTTGTGGGTTTGTTCATTCCGAAAGGAATAGAGGCTCTTCGGTGCAATTATATTGATTTTTCTTATGGTGACATATTTAGGAAATGATGTTGTTGACTCATATGTACTAATATTCACGTGAAACTTTTTATGGTCTGTCTGAAAAATGTAATCGTTTTAACTGTATGAGCATTTTTCTTCTGGCCCCTTTTTTTCTATTTGATATTATCTATATGACTCGTGATTGCCTGATTCACATTTTTTACAATTGTTTTGGAGCAGAAGCTGTTTCTGATGCAAACAAAGCAATTGAGTTGGACCCCTCGATTTCAAAAGGATATTTGCGCAAAGGGTGAGAGGCTCTTGAAATAACTCAAGTTAATTTGTCAGCCATTTTTCAACATATGGCATGCTTTTCACTAAAACATCCTGTCTCGTAAGAGTTGATGTTAATAGATGTTAATTTTTATTTGAATCACTGTGTTTTGTGGAATAAAATCAAGTTGGTGCATATGATCTTTTGACAGCTCAATAGGATGATAATATTTTGTTGGTGCATGGTTTCATTTGTATAGTTTCTTTGAGAGAAGATAGGCATTAGATAGTGAGGATTAGAATGTTCTACCCTGTTCGGAACATTCTGAATTTAGATTCTGGAGAACTGGAAGGTTTGGTTAATTGGTATTTCAAGAAGTACGAGTATTGCTAATTTGTCAAAGCGGATGTGAAAGTTTGTTGCTTGGACAATGCATGCTCTAAGCTTCTCACAAATGACTGTAAACAAGTTTGCAATTGCTGTATTATTTTGCATCATCCATTTTCATGTCTTGTTTGTTCTATGATTTACCTTCTCCAACTGCATTGTGTTTCCCTGAACAGTCTCCATTGAGTTTGTTGCTAACTAGCTAGTGTGATTCTTGCATATACATATCTGTATTCTTATGTATTCAAATTTCATCCCGTTAAATTCTTTCTTCTGTTTCTACGTAACAGCATTGCATGCTTCAATCTTGAAGAATATCAGACTGCCAAAACAGCCTTTGAAGCTGGTGCTTCTTTAGTTCCAGAAGATACAAGATTCAGAGATTGGATAGAGAAGTGTGAGAAATGCATTGCAGGTAATTGCCTATAGATACGCTGATGTCACTGGAACTTGATCCTTACCTATCATAATTCATAAATACCAGTAAACCAACTGAAAGTTTGATTGTGATCTTATTGCTTATATAAGCTGAAAAGCTTGCAGTGGTACGGTAAGCTGGACGATTTATATAAGCTTATTGCAATCTTATTACTTACAATGTTTTTTTGTGATTTTTTTGAAGTATATAATATTTATATGATGCAAATGGAACTCACACACACTCCCCACCTTTGGTGAGGTTGGAACCCTTGACCTCTAGGAAGGTTGGGTTACTGGATATCTCTAGGAGTTTGCCTGTTTAATTTCTTTAGTAGCAAATTATTACACCTTTTGCCAAATTTGTTTTATATTTGAATGTCTTCAGTAAATGTAGTTAGTATGCAAAGAACCTGTACATATTTGTAGAATGAGTCGCAACAAGCTTGTGAACCTTGTAATATTTACATTGAGTTCTGTTGTAATTTAGAGTTTCCGTCTCTAGATTGAGTCCTCCACCTTCTCTTATATTCTGCTTTTGCTTTTGTCTACTTTGCAAGTTTGATGTGTACTCGAGAGGTATTTAACAACCCCAACTGATAAGCACATATAGTTTCACCTACTTTACATATAGGCGACTCTTTCCCTTCACAGGCTACCTTCGCATTTCATAAAAAATATTCATGATTATTGGTGCACTAACGAATCAAAAATGTCTGAATTTGAATTTTGTATTAAAGAACCTGTTAAGAGTCATCTAGATGTAATGTGTCTAAGCATCAACAGTATGAAGTATTATAACATGGAACTTAGATGAGTTTTTACATATTATAAAACAGAGGAAAATGGTGAGCTACCCACACAATCATTGGATGCAACCCCCACTGAGGTTGTGGCTACTCCCTCTCAAGCACCAGAAGAACCTGATGCAGATCCAAAAGATGCAGAACAAGTAAAGAGCATCCCCAGCGAGGTGGCGACCAGGATGCCGGCCAAACCAAAATACAGGTCTAAACCTTTTGGAGAATGATCATTGCTAATTTCTATATTCAGCAAATAAGTTCATAAGTTTCTTACGTGGAAACATCAACAAAATGTTGCAGTTATGTTCTATTTTTATAGTTTGATTTCCAAAGAGAGTATGACTACTTTTACAGTATAGCGAGAGTATAATAACATTCTACAAATTGATAAATGAACTTGTTTTGGTGACACTGATGAGTTCATCTGCGTCCTGGTAAATTATTGTGACGTATCTGTTGACTGCGTGTGCGAGAATGTTTGATATATTTATGTTCGAGAATTTGGTTATTGTCACACTTTTGATCTAGTGTTTTACCCTCATTAAGTAGCAATTAAAGCTTCTTCTGGCGTAAGACCAACATATATATAATGGAATTCAGTTACTTCCCTAGCTTGATTATATATGCGTCAATCATTCATGCGACGTAAAGATGTTTAGTTAATAGTTTCTAGGAGGAGGAATCTCAAACTGGATATGGTTGACACATGCCCACTGATGGGACCTTTTTGTCTGTCTAATTATTGTGCATCGTTGAAGCTAAACTGAAAACTCAAGGGGATGAAGAGTTGGAAGAAACAATGCAAACTTCTTTTTAGTTGATGCAAGTATAAAATTATCATAAAATTGGTTGTTTAATAAGCATCTGTATGTAGGTCAAAATGAAATCATTGAGATCCTTTATGTGAACTGTGTCGGCGTTATGCTTAAAATGATCAACTCTGAGCTCCTCTGTCAAACTGTTTTCATTGATGCTAACTACCATATATCTGCAGGCATGAGTACTATCAGAAACCGGAGGAGGCAATTGTGACTATATTTGCAAAGGGCATACCAGCTGAGAGTGTCTCGGTTAACTTTGGGGAACAAATAGTATGCTGGCATTTCAACTTTAACTCAACATTTAATGGAGTTTCATAGTTATTTCATAAAGAGAAACTGGTTGACACTTAAAACTTTCCTGTTTGTCTTTGCTTTCCAGCTAAGTGTAACAATTGATGTGCCCGGAGAAGAGGCATATATTTTTCAACCTCGCTTGTTTGGAAAGGTGACGTGTCTAGAGTTAAACACAGTTTTTCTTTGCTCTGCTTATTATGCATTTTAAGTCTGCTGTAGAGTTAATATGCACATGCATTCGCAAGCATTTCATTTGTTTCTTATAATAAAAACCCATTTTTAGCTGTATGATAATGACCTTTTTCTTCCATTCAACATTCTTCATTTTGTGGGTCTTATTTTTTCTGGCATCGCATCAAGTGGGAACCATAAATGATGGCACCTTGGGGAGTTTTATTAGTCTGTGTATATATGATTTATATGGATGCATGGTGTAAATGTACCAAATTGGGGGGAGTTATTATCGTCATCATTATCATTGGTGGGTTGAAACGGAGGGACTATAGTTGATACAATGAGATCAAAGGAGCCAAGTTAGTTGTGGTTTGATTATAGTTGTTATTCTCATAGTGAAAGCATGCTTTTATTTTCATAGCAGTTGATCTTTGCAAGATAATTAGGTACTCAATTTAGTAAGAAGTCCTCTATCTTACCAGGGGCAGAATTAGGTATATTCTAGGGCGGTCCAATGTCATCACTCAACTGTCCCAACGCAATGAATCTGTTTTCTTAGTGTTTTGTACTGGATTTTGTAACTACAATAATTTTTATTTTATTTTATTTTATATTACGGTAATTGTTTCTCGTTCCTCCTCTGATATCAACTAACATATTGATTTTTGATTAACAGATAATCCCTGCAAAGTGCAGATACATCGTTCTCTCAACCAAGATAGAAATCCGTCTTGCAAAGGTGGAACCAATACACTGGACATCTCTTGAATTTAGCAAAGACACTCTAGTTGTGCGAAGCAGCAGTGTCTCTTCAGGTGAGTCAATGATGCTTTGACAATGTAAAAAGTGTCAGCTGCATTTTTGGACTTGAAGGAAATGATAACACTTAACGTTAAGAGGCTTTGTTTGTTTTAGGAGGTTTAAAAGGAGGAAAATTATCACTTATGTGTTCAGATTTATTTTGATCGAGACCGTTTGTTTCTCCATTTGGATGGTTTTAATAGTTCAATTTGCTTCTTAATGATTCATAAATGCTACTATTGACTTGGCCCATAGCTTAGTAAAACATCATATACTGTGTTTCTTTCTTTCTCTACTTTTCAAACCATAGGATTAAAGGCTTGTGGGTTTTTCTCTAGTACCAACCAATTGGGGACCTCCACCCCCAAGAACAAATTCCACTTTTAATCCGAAATTCTTTCACAAAATAATCCCTTTTTTTTGTGCTTTATTGTTTTTGTTCTATTAGTCAAATATGTAAAATATCCTCCAATAATGACAAAATAGAAGAATCATGTGTACTTCTAACTCGTTTTTCTTGCGTCTAGTGTTTAGTGTCTTGTTTCTTGTCACTTTCTATCTATTTACACACTTCTTGCAAGTTGGGGGTTTTTATGGAAACAACCACTCTACTTTTTGAGGATAGAGGTCAGGTCTGCGTACATCTTCCTCTCCCCCATTAAAAAAGAGAAAACCTCTGGGGTGAGATATACTGGAATAGTTTGGTTTGGTTTTAGAGGAAGCATGTGAATCATAGCCGATGCTATCAATGTGTAGCAACCCACCAATTGGTGAAGAGGTGACTTTGGGTTGAAACTTGGTTCAAAAGGGAAATGTTGCATTTATTTGAGACAATCTGGATTATGTATCACAGTCTATTATATCTGGTAGGAGTGAAACTCTATTATGTTATACCTAACAAGAGTTATTGTTCATGATATTAGTTCTCATCTTAAGATGCTAATTACACATCTCTCCGATACACAGGTGGTAATCAAAGACCTGTGTACCCTTCCTCGAAGCCGACAAAAGACTGGGATAAACTTGAAGCTCAAGTTAAAAAGGAGGTATGTCTGTTGACTGATAGTTTACTTAGAGAGACCAATGCTAGTCTAGGTTGCAAGGCTAATTACACCGTTCTGTGTTTTCAGGAAAAAGACGAAAAGCTCGATGGCGATGCGGCTCTGAACAAATTTTTCCGCGACATATATCAAGATGCAGATGAGGATACAAGAAGGGCCATGAGAAAATCTTTTGTAAGACCATTCTTTCTCAATTCTCTTTTTTTCCTGAAACAAAAAATAAACTAAAAATACTGAGATAAAGAAAAACTAGAGTCCCACATCAGCTAGACTTGGATCTCCCTACTTCAATATAGTTATCTGATGGGGTTCCGTATATATCTGATTTGGTAACCAATAATAGGTGGAGTCGAATGGAACAGTGCTGTCGACAAACTGGAAAGAGGTGGGATCGAAGGAGGTGGAAGGAACTGCTCCAGATGGTATGGAATTGAGGAAATGGGAATACTGAAGTTTTTGTGATGGTGGGTGGATCTTGTTCTTTCTTGGAAGTTGTCTATAGTCTCTTTCTTTAAGCCAAAAAAAGGTACCTTTTCAGTACTAGTTATCTTCTTTTTCTGTCGTAAAGAGTTTTCGGTTGCTGTTTTGGTTTAATATAAATTATATTGTCGTCCACATTTTAATGACGATATATTTGTTTGAAGAACTGTGTGTTGGAATTTAGTTACGGTTTACCATTAATTTTGCATTTCTGGAGCTTGTAAAACTGGATCCGAGAGGACCGTTTCACAAGTTCAATCGAATTAACCAAAACATATAGCTTTTTGTGATGGTGGGTGGATCATTTCACCAATCGAATTTGATTTCAAGTTTTACAACATTTTATGATCAGGACTGAGAAACAGGGGCCTGAGCATAAGATATGGTCAAACTCGAAACTCAAATCAAAGTGCAAAAGATTGGGTGAAACGATCTATATTTTTGAAAGATTTTGACATATCCTTCTAAAAGAAGATCAAGAGAGGAGATTTGAAAATCATAGAAACCCAATTGACTTTGAAGTTGTTTTTTGTGTAAATGGAGTTGATGAGGTTGCACAGAATATATATAGAGGGAGAAAGAATACGAGAGATATTGATTTGGGTTTCTGTGTGTGGATTCTATATTTGGAAATTAAGTAAGGTTTGAGATGGGTTGATCGGATTGAAGACATTTGAACAAGTTAATTGAATATTTGTGGTTTGAAAATTCTTAATCTAATCCAACCCAAACCAAAGTGCAACCCAACCCAAACCGTACGGGTTGATACTTTGGTATGTTAAAATATATTTTTTAACCTTGAATATGTTATTTTTTTATTCATAGTTTTTTTCCCCATCATCAACCATTTAATGCAACTTATCCATACTTACGTATATCACATTTAGTTAATTTTCTCAATTTAAATATATATGTTCATGGTTACTATATATATATATATATATATATATATATATGAGTTATATAGAGATGCGGATAGATTGAAAATATGTGTATATGAAGAGTGTACGTGATAGTGTAATTGTCTAATGTATATATTAATAGAAATTCAACAATCATATTAAATCCAAGAAAAATAAAAAGATATCAGGTTCATCAGGTTGAGTTGAGTTCAAATAATAGTAACCCAATATCGATCCAATACCTATGGTTTAAAAAATTTATTCGATTAAATATTGGGTTGCTTTGGATCGAATTATTTTGCATTAGGTTGATCGGATTGGTCGGGTTTTTAAATATGAGATGGGTTATTTTAAGTGATGGTGAATGTCAATGGGATTGACCCCTTGGAAGGGTGCTCTTGCTTCGCTTGAGGAGGAAGAGGGGAGGTGGGGTAAAATTATCTGTGCGTACGTGTGTGTATATATATATATATATATATATACTAGTTGTTTATTCGCGCAATGCAGTGGGATGTTGTAATATTCAGGTTTGAGATTTGAGTTAAGATTTTTGGATTATATATTATATATATATAAGAATGTGTATGTATGTAAAATTGTTTTTATTGGAAGTAAAAACAATTATGGGAAGAGGTAAGTCGGCTGTGTGTGTGTGTGTGTGCCACCATAATGGTGTCTCCTCTTACTATAAATAGTAAGAGGGAAGGATGTAGAGGGTTTTCACACTTGCTTCATTAGAAAAGTTTTCTTTGTTATATCAGCCGGATTTGGCAGAAAAAGGAAGAAGAAGGGAAATCAAACTTTGTTTTTCAGTTTCTGTTTAAAGGTGAGTGTTTTATGCTTTGATGTATCAATTGTGGTATAACAATTGTAATTGTTTGAAACGATTTATTATGTTTCATATATTGTCTGGATATCTCCTTAAACCGCCCAAGTGTTGACCGGTTTATTCTTAAACCGCTCAAGTGTTGTCCGGATATCTCCTTAAACCGCCCAAGTGTTGACCGGTTTATTCTTAAACCGCTCAAGTGTTGTCCGGATATCTCCTTAAACCGCCCAAGTGTTGACTGGTTTATTCTTAAACAGCTCAAGTGTTGTTCGGTTTAGAGATAAATCGCTCAAGCCGTGTCCGGATTATCACGTTTTGTTCTAAGTCTTTGTCCGGACTTGATATCCGGACAGTGATGACCGGATCCCTTATCCGGCTAAAATTGATTAAAGTTATATTCCGCGAGAGAGATGAAATGGCGGTGTAACCGCGAGAGAGATGAAATGGCGGTGTAACCGCGATGGAGATAAAAAGATATGTGATAGATATTGATAAAATGTGTGATAAACAGGTTTGATTCTAAACTGCTAGTTAAGAAAGTATGTTGTTGGTATGAGTTATATACACTCACTAGACATTTTGTGTCTAACGCTCAGTTGTTAGATTAACCGATTTTGCAGGTCATCATACCTCGCAGGATAAAGGAAAGGGAAAAGTTTAATGTTGATGACATTTGTTTACTCATAAATGTATTAAAGAAAATTTTTTGTTAGTCCGTGTTTTGTAACAATACTATTTTTAGTATTATGAGAATAAGTATGTGGATTATATGTATATGGAAATTGTGGGATGTTACAGATGTAAAGCTGGTTCTATTAGGATATATTCAACTTTTAAATATCATTTTTTTACAAAATATTTTTGAAATACTTGATGGTTCACAAGTTGTATCATAAATCCAAAAATGAAAAATTAATGAAAATTTTCATTTAAAAAGTCTAAAATTTATGTATAAACAATCATGTTTTTATCATACACAATCATCATTCAAAACTTCTTGATACATCACATTTGATGTGTAAGACTTCTTCTTGATTGAACTTTTTGATAGATTTCACTAATACCTTTATATTACCACGTGATATCCCCCTGAACAATGCCACGTAAGGTTGGGCCGTGCGAGAATACCGATTTTGGTAGATAAACACCTACCACAGGAATTTTGAAGTCGAGAAGTCGAAATCTAAATGTTGTTTTGTTCTATCCTCCATCCGTTTTCGATTTTATTTTTTTGGGTTTTTGAAATTTGAATTTGAATAACGATTTATATAAATAAAAAAATCAAGGTTAAAGTTATCAATTGACCAAGTAATTAACACTATCATTTATTTTAATGCATAAGAATTTAGTACATCAAAACATGTCGAATGCAACAATTTACTGGGTTAGCGCTTAGTCGCTTACCTGAGTAAGAGTCGTCATCCTCACTTATCGGGTAAGAATCTCCATCCTTCTCATCGCTCTTACCCGATAAAACTCTTGACTTTTCTCATGTTCATCCAATGAGGAAATTTATCTGATAAGTACTTACCAAGTAGGCGTTTAGTAAATGGCCCCTTAGTGAGTAAATTGCTTATGCTTAAGGTTCATTCGTTCGGTCTTAGAAAACAAAGTCAACATGAAAAAAAATAAAAGTTGTATGTGAAATCTACCAATAAGTGGTCAAAATGACCTACAACAATGTCATCTTTCTAGAAGGATACTCGCACAATACAGCGAGATATATCTTGATTTTAATGTTTCGTTTTATATTTTGGGTCTATCAATGTTATAATGTGATTTTATGTGGTTTTGAGAAAAATAATATATTTTTATTCTTGAATGAAATATAAATTTGAAGATATCATAAAATTTTGATAAAAATAAGCAACATTAGTATCAAATTAACTATTTAAAAGTTATCTTTCTTGTGTAATTTCTTTAATTCGATTTTTTATTATAATTTAATTGAATTTTAAAAACAAACTAATTTATTTTTGGTATAATAAAATAATTTTTAAGATAATAATTAAGTATTCTGTTAGAACTCAATGATTATCTTAATTATATTTTAGATTAATTTTTATATTTAAAATAATGTTTATCATGTATTTGATTATGTTTATCTACAGTTAGTTATACGAATTCAAACATGAAGCTTTAATAAGTTGTACTTACACACAATCAACTTGTAATCTTGAATTTTAAGTAATATGCATCAATAAACAGTGTTCTATGCATAAAAAATTGTTTTTAAGAGTTTTTATCAAATGCTTTATAATATAGTATAGATAAAGAAATGCATATTCTAATCTGTTGAAGACTGCACATACCATAGGTTACCACAACAAAATTCATCAAAAAGAAACATTAACCTCTACATACAATTATTTGCAAACGGTCACAATGAATTTAGGTATCACAGATTATGATAATGAAACCCAACAAAAATCCTCTAAAGAAGAAACACTAAACTACTCTACATACAATTATTTAAAGAAACATAGTTACAATGCATTAATGTACCAAAAATTAGGTAATTTGCGTTAGCCATAGAAACCACAAGTCTACATGTAATGCAAATTTTTTTTAGATAAACAATATGAAAACACCTCCTGATTGTTACAACGGAGTACCTGAGAAAATCCCATATGATCCTTTTGTGTATCAAAATTAAAGAGGTGAAATTTGATGATATTCAAGTATCTCTAATGGCAAAGATTATTTACTGATTGAAGAAAGTTGTTTGTTTCTGATCTATGATGGATAGGCAAGAATGCAATTGAATTGGTGCAGGAAACAACGACAGACTTGGATATGAAGTGATGAAGAGAATAGTTATGAGGACGGAGGTATCAAAAGAGAAGATAACCAAACATGCTCTAATTTGAAATCAAGCAAACATTCATACACAGGAAGAGATAGTTAATTCTCCTGAGTGGTTAGAAGTGATGTCAAGCAGCGACAATATCTGCATGGATGTAGCTGCAGCTTTTGAACAACTTTGTTACATTCATTGCAACTTCTGCAATATTGTTCTTGCTGTACTCTCTCTCTTTCTCTCTGTGTGTATATATATATGTGTGTGTGTGTATGCATACCTTCTCTTGTGTCATATTATATATACGTTGAAAGAGATATAACTTGTTTTTTTATGGCTCATGTACAATGAACAGAACAATGGCTTTGGGACAGTTGGTTCAAGTAGATCATCAAAATGTAGTGCCCCAACAAAACTTTGGGACAGTTGGTTCACAGCAATATCTGAAAATTATTACACTAAATATACAACCAAATTTTATAGCAAAAATTTTCTTGTCATTTGTAGTCACAGACTCACAGTGTTGCTACCACCTTCAAAAACTACATTAAATGTGCTAAAGAAACAAGAAAACAACTGTGCATTGTTCTTATAATGAAATTTTATGTTAGCATGAATCTTACATGACTTATGTTCCTACCCAAACATCTTCACCATTGGACTCAC